CGTGGCACTTAACAACAACAACAATAGATATCATACAAGTAAAATTTTGCTAAAGATAATACAAAAATGGCTGCAATCATACATTTACAAAGAATTTCCAGAAATTCAAGCTGGATTCACAAGAGGACATGGAACAAAGGATATCACTGCTGATGTCAGATGAATTTTAGCTGAAAGCAGAGAATACCAGAGAGATGTTTACCTGTGGCTTTACTGTCTATGCAAAGGCTTTCAATTGTGTGACTCATGAAAAAGTTATGGAAAACATGGCGGAGAATAAATATTCCAGAACACTTAATTATGCTCCTGAGGAACCTGTATATAGATCAATAGGTAGCTGTTTAACTAGAACAAGGAGACACTGAATGGTTTAACATTAGTAAAGGTGTGCTCCAGGGTTGTATTTTTTCACCATACTTATTTATCTGGGCTGGCAGTGTTTTGTTCTGTTGTACATAGGGTTGCTATGAGTCAGTTATGACTTGATGGCACCTAACAACAACAACAATTTGATCTGTATGCTGAGCAGATAATTCAAGGAAGAAGAAATGTGGTATCAGGATTTGAGGAAGACTGATTAACACCCTGTGATATGCAGATGATACAGCCTTGCTTATGGAAAGTGAAGAAGACTTAAAATACTTACTGATGAACATCAGAGACCACAGCCTTCAGTATAGGTTGAACCTCAATGTCAAAAAAACAAAACTCCTCATCACTGGATAAATAAATAACACCCATTGTATCTTAAGTACAATGCTGTCTGTGGTAGGATAATATATACCTGTCTACAAGGAAAAGTCCTTATGTGGCACCATAGGATAAGCACTGGATCATAATGCTGATTTGATACTGAATAGTTTAATAACAGGAGAGATATGTGCCAGAGCTGTATCCTTGCACCATACTTATTCAATCTGTGTGCTGAACAAATAATACCAGAAGATGGATTACATGAAGAACATGGCATGAAGATTGAAAGAAGACTCATCAACAATCTGTGCTATGTAGATAACACAACCTGCTTACTGGAAGCAAATTAGATTTAAAAATACTTATTGATGAAGATCAGAGACCCCAATGTAAAAAAAACAAAAATGTTCACAACTGGACCAATAAGTAACATCATAATAGAGAAAAGATTGAAGTTGTAGAAGACTTCATGTTGCCTGGACTCTCAATCAACACTATGGAAATAGCAGTCAGGAAATCAAAAGATTTATTGCATTTGTCAAATCTGCAGCAAAAGACCTCTTTAAAGTATTCAAGAACAAAGATGTCATTTTCAGGACCAAGGTGCACCTGACCCAAGATGTGTTATTTTCAATCATCTCATATGCATGTGAACTTTGCACAATATATAAGGAATACCATAGAAGAATCCATGCATTTTAATTATGGTCTTGGCACAGAATATTGACAGTACCATAGATTGCCAGATGTATAAACAATATGTTTTGGAAGAAGTACAGCCAAAATGTTCCTTATAAGCAAGGATAGTGAGAGTTTGTCTCTGATTCTTTGAACATGTTTTCAGGAGGTACCAGTCACTAGAGAAGGACACCATGCTTGGTGTAATGGACGATCAGTGGAGAAAGAAGAAGACTCCCTATAAGGAAATGGACTGACACAGTGCCAGCAACCACGGGCTCAAGCATAAAAACAATCTGAGGATGGCCCAGAACCTGGCAGTGTTTTGTTCTACAGTGCTTGTAGACTCAATGGCACCTAACAACAACCAATGATTAATGACGTTGAGTATCCTGTCATGTAATTATTTGGCCATTTGTGTATCTTTTTTTGGAGAGCTAGCTATTGAAATCCTTTGGCTGTTTTTATTTGTTAAACTATAAAAACTCTTCAGATAAGCCAGATATCAAAATCTTATCAGATATATGAATTTTAAATATTTTCTCCTATTCTATGTGTTGAACTTATTTTATTTTGTACATTCTTCATCATTTATGTGAGCTATTTTTAAATAGTACTTGGAGTTCCTTAACTGCTATCTTTGGCTATATTTCGAAAATTATTTTGATAAATATAAGCTCAATATTCTTTTAGATAATGGATGACTAACTCTTCCACACTATATCTCTTCTGATTAAGCAATGTTAGTTTTAAGGTTTTATGTGTGCTTAGGGTGTGCAAAGTTTAATTAGGACTTTGTAAAAGCTACAAGTCAATCCTTTCTACCTCACTATTTTAAAACACACCCATTCTGTATAACATCATACCCTGTTAGTCATATTATGTTTTTAAACTTAAAAGGCCTAAAATATTTTACTCAAAATTCCCTGCTATTGAGTTGATTCATACTCACAGCAACCCTGTTCAGGGTTTCTGAGGCTGCAAATCTTTATGAAAGCATCTCCCTCCTGCAGAGCACTTGGTGGGTTTGAATTGCTTTTTTTGCAATTAGCAGTCCAGTACTTAATTTACAGTGTCACCAGGGCTCCTCAAACACATATTTTATTTCACTTTTTCCATCTTTTTTATTCTAATAATATTTTATGTGTTATTACTAAGAAAGTAAGACAGAAGTTGGTACCAGAAGTGGGGTGCTGCTCTCAACAAACATGTAAAACATGGAAGTGGTTTTGGATTTGGGTAATGGATAAAGGCTAAAGGCATTTTGATGTGTTTTATAGTAAAGCCCTAGTTTGCCATGAGGAGACTGTTGGTAGAATCAGTGGACATTAAAGACAATTCTGATTAGGGCTAAGAAAGAATGAGAGCTTATGAAAGTTCTATCTTTATGAACAAAGTGCTACTAGAAATGTAGGCATAAAATGTGCTCCTTTAAAAGAAACTAATGAATGTGTCGTTGGACACTGTATTTTATGCAGTTCCAAAGTATTTCTCTGAATTATATTCAAATGTTTGATGGAAGGCAGAATTTGTTAGTGATGAATGTGTATATTTGAACGAGACTTCTATGCAAGATATTAAAGGGCCATCATGATTTATCCTTGCTGCTCACTGTAGAATGTGGGGAAAAGATATAGGATTAAAAATTAACTGGAAAATGAAAGTAGAAAGTAAAGACTTGGAAAATTCTGTTGTACAAACTAAGAACATGTGTCCTAGAACTCTAACCAAGGATGTGGCTATTCAGTTACTAATTAAACAGATTAAGCCCACTGATGATGTCACTTTGCCAATCCATCTCACTGTGGGTCTTCCTCTTTTTCTCTGATTCTCCACCCTATTAAACACAATATCCTTCACCAGTGATTGGTCCCTCCTGACAGTATGTCCAAAGTCTGAGAGCCAAAGTTAGGCCATCCTGGCCTCCAAGGAGCATTCTGGCTGCACTTCTTCCGATACAGATCTGTTTGTTCTATGGGCAGCCCATGGCACTTTCAATATTCTCCTCAAACACCATAACTCAAAAGCATCAATCCTCCTACGATCTTCATTATTCGCTGTCCAGCTTTCACATGCATATGAAGTTACTGAAAATCCCATGGCTTGGGTCAGGCACACCTTAGTCCTCAAGCTGACATCTTTGCTCTTCAACACTTTAAAAAGGTCTTGTGCAGCAGATTTGCCTAATTAATACATCGTCTGATTTCTTGACTGCTGCTTCCATGAGTGTTTATAGTTGATCCAAGAAGAATGAAGACTAAAGCACTATACCAGGAGTTATTTTAGTACTTCTCAATAAAGTGTAAGCTCTTGGAGGGAAGAAACCATATTTATCCACCTTTATATTTCTAATCATCAGCGTTGTGCATGGCTAAGAAGACTATGTACAAATAAATGCTCACTTTCCACATACAAACCATGCTATGAAAAGATGAAATTGTCTATTTTCAGAAAGGCTGAAAAATCTATTTAGCCTAAAGTAAAAGCTGCGAGGGATTAGTAAACACATTAACAACAACAAAAAGAGTGCTTTAAAACTAGCCAAAAAAGAAACTGTTCCAGAGGAAAAGATTAATTGAATAAGGAGAAGAGAAATTGTGCTGATGATCTTAGGAGAATTTTGAGTGTTACCTTCCTTCATGCTGAGGGCCTCCAGTTTGGCAGGCAAATCTGAGGTTCCACCTGTAGCCACTGAACTCTGGATGTCTGGTAAGGCATTCCGGCGGCCTGCCCTGGCTGAAGATGTAAAATTGGTAACTACAGGCTCCACATCAGTCATTTCTGATGAATCTGTCCTCATAGCAACATCTACAAATAGAATGTGCACATGAAGAAGAGGATGAGTCTCTTCTAGTCAAGGAAAATGTTCATAACTGTGGCTAAAATAACACAGTTGATGAAAAACACAATAGCCTGATAATCAAATCATTGATTCACACCCTTCATCTATATCTACAGGTCCTAGAAGTTCCATTTGCACATTTTCTGAATAGAATAGGAAGTCTTCAGTGTGAGCCAGATTGCTATAAATACTCCCTGAATGAACCACCTGGATGCTTTATAGTGCAGTAATCCCTTGCCTTTTGTTCTGCTTTTCTATGGATGGTTAAATCAGACTCAGACGTGAAAGAAAATGAAGACTGATTTGTTTGGCCACTCCTGTAGAGACTCTTTCTACCACTTATTTGCTGTGTCATTTGTTCAAGTTGAATCCAAATCACTATAATTCACAGGAACCAAACAACACACTGTTTCTATTCTTAAGAAATGATAAATTTAACTTTATTTTAAAGATAGTTTTTGCCTTTGTTTTCTCAAGAAAGGACTATGCATTTTGAATTTTTTCTAATCTCAGAACTAGTTTTTAATGAATTTGTGTAACTTAGGGCAAGTTGTTATTTCTTAAGTGCCCTCGAGTTGGTTCTGACTTGCTTTAACTTTATTAGCTCTTTCTTAAGCATTCTTGATCTTCCTAGCAATTGTCTCTAAGAAAAAATTCTCAGAGTTAACTCACTAAGTAGGGAGATTGTTGTTAAGTGCTGTCGACCCATAGCAACCCTGTACAGGGTTTCCAAGGAGCACCTGGTGAGCTTGAACCACTGACCTTGCAGTTCAAATGACTTTGCAGTCTGACACATTATCCCACAGTGCCACACCAGGACTCCAAATAGGGAGATTGGTAGCAGATTATGCTTAGTCTAGAATTTTTTTCCTAAAAAGTCAACATCTAATGGTATCTCAAAAGCAGCAGCAACAGTAAACATTTACTGAGAATCTATTGAGTTCCAGGTTCTCAGCTAAGCATTAAAAGTACAGAGTATGATGTATTCTCCATCACTTGAAGACTTGCACTTTCAAAAGGGAGAAGAAAGTACACATAGAAGGACTGATAGCATTAGAACATCCAATGTATAAAATATCAACCAAAGGCTGGAGATAGTCATTTGTGGCAGCCCTTAAGAGAACAGATATATGTGAACACTGGCTTATACAAAGTAAACCAAACTTCTTACTACATTTAAAAGTTAGTCCTTTCCAAATAATTTAATTCAGGAAATGCTAAAACTGAAGGGAAATTGTCAGAAAACTTGTTGCATTTGATGTTAGACATTCAATTCCTTTTAGTCCATAGCACCCAAGAACTGCATAACCAGCTTAGTGTAGGCCTTGGAGTCCAAGATCAGTCTGTAATTGCCTCAGAAAGCAGCCATTCTCTGAATTTCCCAGACAGTCTGTTTTTCCTAGGAATCATGGAAATTTTTCTAATAATATTGTTTTTTGATGCAATTCTGTGATCAATTAGATTTTCAATTATTTAGTATTTGATAAATGTCTGACATTGATGGTCGTGGTGATGGTGTGCCACGCAGTAGGTACTGACTCATAGAGACACTGTATAGGGTTTCTGAGGTTGTAAATCTTTACAGAAGCAGATAGCCTCCTCTTTCTCCCATGGAACAACTGATAGTTTTGAACTGCTGACCTTGAAGTTAGCAGCCCAATTCATAACCACTATGCTACCAGAGTTCCTTCTGGCATTGATAGCATATGCTAATGTAAACAGCATTGGAATATTAGTAAAAAACAAAATAAAACAAAAACCTTCATTTGATTATAGCCTACCAAGATAATATTGATTAACTCATTTAATTTTTCTAGCCACACTTTCTCCCAGATGTAATTAATGCATATAATAACAAGCCTAATTGTTTCACATGATTCTTTTAAGAAGCAATAAAATATAGAGTATAGAAATGCATTTTCACCTATAAAATCACTTATGTTTGATTAATGGCACCCTACTAAATAAGATATTGCTCATATTTTATTGTTTGCTTTAGTTCATAACCCTCTGGTTGTCCTCATTAATTTTATTTTTAAAATATCTTCCTGTTGGTAAGATCTCTTAAGTTTACAAAGAGGGAGATCAGTATTTATTTCCTACTACATTAATATTTTTACATCTATTATCTCATTTAAACTTCCTAATAGTCATTTGACCTATACTTTGTAGTGGAAATTGGAGCTCTGATAGGCTAAAAGTCTCATTTTAAGCTGCACAGTTGTTACTTTATTTAGTGCTCAGGGACGCAAATCCAGTTTAGTTCACTCTGAAAACAAGATGACATGGATACTCATGAAAGAGTCATCAGTCTTTGGAAAACGTAACTTACTCAAATCCCTGTGATACAGGCAGATAATCATACAGCAGCTAATTTAGGTTCTGCCTAGCACTGCAATTTTTAAAAAACTTTTATTGTGACTTGGGTTAAGGTTTACAGAGCAGATGATCAGTTTTACATCTAACAAATCACATTTTTCATCTCAATTATTGCAACCCCCTCCACATAACAACAATTATTCCATTTATTCCCTGTGGTTCCTATTTCCTTTCTATCATCCTTTCCAACCAGTCTGAACCTTGGCCTCAGGTAAATGTTACCCTTTTGATCTTGAATGGTTGACCATTCGATGGTAAGCATATCTCACTAGTGTTGTTGTCCCCGCTATGCACTAAATTTAAAATGTAATGCATATATACATACTACTGGTGTGGCACTATAGGATAAGCATTGGACTGCTAATAACAAGGTTGGTGGTTCAAACCCACCAGTTGCTCCTCAGAAACCCTATACAGGGTCACTATGAGTTAAAACTGACACTTAACAACGACAATAATAAATGCATACCCACCACTTGTCTCTCAGTTGGTTTTACTGTGGTGGCTTGAATGTTGCTGTAATGCTGGAAGCTATGCCACATGCATTTTAAATACGGCAAGCAGAACCACACATGGATAGGTTTCAGTGGAGCTTCCAGACTAAGACAGACCAGGAAGAAGGAGAGACAGTCTACTTCTGAATATTTAGACACGGAAAATCTTATGAATAGCCGTAGAACATTGTCAGATATAGTCCAGAAGATGAAAATTTAACGAATATCACCAGAAAACTCTAAGATGTTCTGCTAGATGATGAGTCCCTCAGTTTGGAAGGAACTCAAAATATGACTGGGGAAGAGCTGCCTCCTCAAAGTAGAGTTGATGATGATGATGTGAATGGAGTAAAACTTTCAGGATCTAAATTTGCTGATGGGGCACAACTCAAAATGAGAAGAAACAGTTACAAACAACTCTTAATGATCAGAATATGGAATGTATGGACTATGTAACAAGATAAACTGGAAACTGTCAAAAATGAAATAGAAAGCATAAAGATCAATACATTAGTGAACTGACATAGACTGGTATTGGTCACTTTGAATCTGGCAATCATATGGTTTACTATTCCAAGAACGACAAATTCAACAGGAATGGAGTAGCACTGATCATCAAAAAGAACATTTCAAGATCTATCTTGAAGTACAACTCTGTTTCCAATAGGATAATATTCATTCACCTACAAGGAAGAGCAGTTTATACCACTATTCAAATTATTTACCAGCCACTAAAACCAGTGATGATGAAATTGAAGAATTCTACCAACTTCTTCATTCTGAAATTGATCAAACATGCAATCAAGATGTATTGATAATTACAAAGCTCCAGAAATTTATGGAATCTAAATTGAAATTGTTCAACAAACTGATACAGCACTGAAGGTGCTTACTCAGCTATGCCAAGAAATTTCAAAGTCAGCTACCTGGACAACTGATTGGAAGATATCCACATATAGTCCCATTCCAAAGAGAGGTGACCTAACAGAATGTAGAAATCATTGAACAATAATGATATCATATTGTAATGAAAAGGATGGAAACGAAGGATTGTAGTTAGAAAATAAGGCCTTGGTAATAGAAATGATGATGGAGATTACATGACAGAATCTTGCAAGACAAATGACTTATTCATTGTGAATACCTTTTTTAAACAATTAAAAGTCATTGAAGACATCTCTGGGAAGAGACTGTGAAAGTTCAATATTACCAGCCAAAACAAGGCCAAGGGGAGACTGGGGAACAGACCATTGATTGTTCATATGAAACGTCAGGCTGAAGCTGAAGAAAAGTAAAACAAGTCTATGGGAGCCAAAATATGACCTTGAACATATTCCACCTGAATTTAGAAATCATCTCAAGAACAGATTTGATGCACTGGACTCTAATGACTGAAAACCAGAAGGGTTGTGGGATGACATCAAGAACATCATACAGAAAGAAAGCCAAAAGTTATTAAAAAGAGAAGAAAGAAAAGGCCAAAGTTTAGAGAAGTTAAAATAAAAGGAAGAAATGAGGAGGTAAAAGAGCTGAACAGAAAATTTCAGAGGGTGGTTCCAGAATACAAAGTATTATAATGAAATGTGCAAGAACATGGAATTAGAAAACTAAAAAAGAACGCATTCAGCATTTCTCAAGCTGAAAGAACTGAAGATTTAAGCCTCAACATAAAATATTGAAGGATTCCAGGAGCAAAATATTAAATGATGCAGAAAACATCAAAAGAAGATGGAAGGTATACACAGACTCACTGTACCAAAAAGAAATGGTTGATGTCCAACCATTTCAAGACGTAGCATATGATCAAGAACCAATGGTACCAAAGAAAGAAGTCCAAACTGTACTGAAGGCATTGATGAAAAACAAGGATCTAGGAATTGATAGGATATAAATTGAAATTGTTCAAAAAACTGATGAAGCATTGGATGTGCTCACTCACTTATGCCAAGAAATTTCAAAGATAGCTATCTGGGCCAATTTATTGGAAAAGATCTACATTTGTGCCCATTCCAAAAAGAGGTGATCCAATGGAATGCCGAAATCATCAAGCAATACTGATATCACATGCAGGGAAATTTTTTTCTGAAG